TGCAGGAGACAGACAGTGAACTGTGTACAAGCCAGGAGGCTGAATCTTTGTTGGTATTTCTTGATGGTGCATACCCCTGCGTGGGAAGCATTTGTGTTATTTGAACTTTCTTTAAATAAAAGTGGGCAAAAAAGCCCTTAAAGAAGCGAGTTGCTGTGTGCTTAAACAAGAAAAGCTCTACCAGTTGAAGCGAGTTCCCACAATATACATATTATAAACTATACAAAATTACTTGAAAAGTGTGTTTTCCAAAACACTGTTCAGCACATACAAAGTCTCTGGCATCCTCACTGCTGGGACACATAAAAATTGAACTTCTGGCTGTGTTTGGTGATACGGTGAAGAAAAGGATTGGAGTTTTGGCCGCAGATCAGAGTGTTAAATAAGGAAGCGGACTGCCCAGATACCCGGACCTAATGCTTTTTAGCAATAATGGGTTGCTGTTAGCACCATAATATTGTCTGTTAGCTCCTGTCACTGGGAGTTGTGAGGAAGCCGCTTTGCGGGGAAGCACGCGGCAAGCTCAAGAACTGACTTCATTATCTGTAATAATGCAACATAAAGAGCAGCTCCCGGCAACAAGTGAAATCAATCGGTGAACCGCAAATGCTGTTCAGAAAAGACTATTCTACTATAATAAGGGTAGTCCACTCAATTCATGTTTAAAGTGTTACTAAACCCTCAACAGTAAAATCAGTCTGTATATGCAGTAAAGCATGCTTGTTATACTCGCTGTGGAACCTAAGGGGTTAATCCTCTGCATTGTGTAAAAAGGATGTTTGATCCTGTCTTCTCTGATCATCCATCTGTTGATAGAACAGAGTCCGGGGGGGCAAGCTGCACATGCTCAGTTTGGTGTGTATTGCTAGAGAGGTTTTTTTTTTTTTGGGAGGGTGCATGTGATCAGCTCAGGGCCAATCAGCACTATCCAGACAGGTCAGGGGTTCTGTATCCTCCTAGAGCAGAAAGAAAACTCCTCCTAAAAGCTTTAACCAGTGCTCTGCTGGATACTGATAGAAGCCACAAGACTGCTCTAACTGCTGATGAGAAAAGGTATTTAGCAGTTTATATTTACTAAAATAATTGCATTTCCATGTTCTGTGTACTGTGGGAGACCAGATATAGTACATGCAGAGTCCTGGGTTTAGGATCACTTTAACAGTGTTTTATGTATATATATATATATATATATATATATATACAGTGTTCCCTCGCCACTTCGCGCTTCATGTTTTGCGACTTCAGTGCTTCGCGCGGGTCAGCAGCCACATTGTGTTGATGCGCGAGAGAGAAGGATCCCTGCATGAAGGAGCCCTTATAATGCCGCCTAAGCGCTGTGCCCCTGCGAAAGCTTCCTCCGGGCGCACAAGAGGAAGAAGATGATGACCATCAGCGAAAAAGTGAAACTTTTAGATATGATCAAAGAGGGCAGAAGTTATGCATCTGTGGCACGCCATTACGGGGTGAATGAATCTACAGTGCGGTACATCAAGAAAGCGGAAGCAAACATCCGCAAAACTGCTTCAATAACCTTCAACAAAGAAGCAAAACGTGTGATAACTCCGCGTAATAACAGAATTGTGAAAATGGAAGGTGCACTGGCATTGTGGATTGCTGATTGCAGGAAAAAGACAGTGAGTGTGGACACTAATATGATCAGGACAAAGGCCAAAGCTCTCTACGACCAAATCTTGCCCGATGACGACAATGAAGAGGCTGAAGAAGGTGCTGACGAACCTCAAGCCAGTACTACCGCCGCTGCCAGGAGTGGTTCGCCTCCTCGCGGATGAGGCTTTTCAGCCAGCAAAGGCTGGTTTGAAAAATTTCAAAAAAGATACGGCCTCAGAAATGTGCTTCTGTATGGTGAGGCTTGCTCTGCTGACTACGATGCTGCTTGTCGTTACGTGGAGGAAAAGTTTCCTAACCTCATTAGTGAGGGAGGCTACCTTCCTGAACAAGTTTTTAACATGGATGAAACAGGCCTTTTTTGGAAGAGGATGCCTTCACGTACATTCCTCTTCAAGGATGAAGTGAAGAGGCCAGGCTTCAAGGCTCACAAAGACCGTGTGACTGTCATCATGACTGGCAATGCTGCAGGTTTTATGCTTAAGCCAGGCCTTATTTATAAAGCCAAAAAACCACGGGCATTAAAAAAACAAAAATATGGCCCTGTTGCCCGTGTTCTGGATGCATAACTCCAAGGCCTGGATAACGAAAGCTCTGACCCTTGAATGGTTCCTCCATTGCTTCATTCCCCAGGTGAAGCTGTATCTGGCTGAAAAGGGCCTCCCCTTTAAGGTCCTTCTCCTGATGGACTGTGCAGGAGGCCATGCAACGGACCTGCAATATGACGGTGTGCAGATAGAGTTTCTGCCCCCGAACACTACATCTCTAATTCAGCCGATGGATCAAGGTGTCATTCGTGCCTTTAAGGCACTCTACACTCGCTCCACGATGGAGAGCCTCATCTCGGCAGTTGACGATGCCAATGATGAATTCACCTTGAAAGCATACTGGCGCAGTTACGACATTGCCTCATGTTTGTCTAATATTCAGCAAGCATTAAAGGACATGAAGAGTGAGACCATAAAATCTAGCTGGAAGAAATTATGGCCGAACGTGGTGCACGACTATCCAGGCTTCACTCCTGAAGAAGTTCATCACTCAGCGGTGGAGAAGGCGGTGAGGCTGGCTCACATCATAAGGAATGAAGGATTTGTCGACATGACAGAAGAAGACATCAGCGCCCTTATCGATTGCCACTCGGACCCACTGAGCGATGAAGACCTCCGTGAGATGACAAAGTCTGCAAGTGAGGAAGAAAACGAAGAGGAAGACGAAGAAGAAACTGAAAAGCGTGGCCTTACCCTGGAGAATCTGCAACAATTGTGCAACATGGCAAGAGCGATGCAATAATTTGCACAAGACATTGACGACAATATGGTTCGAGCTGTCGAGTTCAGCAATCGCGTTGACGGGGTTATGTCCTTGTACAGGGGAATTTTGAAGGAAAAGAAAAAAACAAAGACAACAACTACCCATCACCATGTTTCTGTCCAAAGTAAAGCCCCCGGCTCTACCGTCAGCGCCTCCAGCAGAAGAGTCTCCGAGTCAAGTGAGAGCCTCTCCTCCGCCACCAACACAAGACTCTTCGCCTCTCTCAGAAAGCAATGTTGATTAATGTTTATTACTGTATAAGGTTTTGTAATTACAGTAACCCTATTGTAATTAGCACTGACACGTTTAAGTAAATACGTATACTGTACAGTACTGTTGTAATTTTTGTCTTAAATGAGTAAAGTATGAATACTGTTTACATATTTAAAACATTCTTGTACAGTAATACACAAAAATTCCTAGGGGCAAATACTACTTTGCGGTTTTTCAGCTTTTGCGGAAGGTTCTGGTCCCCATTAACCGCGAAAAATGAGGGATCACTGTATATATATATATAAAACAAAGTTTATTAAATACAGTTACTATACGTGCCTGCCTTCCTTCTTTATGTTAGCCTTTTGTACAGTAGTTCTTTTTACAATGCTAACTCCCAGCAGAGGTAGTGAATTAGTCAATAGTACTTAGGTTTAAACATGAGTGAATGCAGGGTCCTGGGTTTAGTAACACTTTAAAGGTAATATTTTTATCTCTTTTTTCATTGGATTAAGTAAAATGGATTTTTCAAATGTATCTTAATCTGATAAATACAGAACATGAAATATTAGTAAGTTATATTTACCATGTACAGACAGCAAGTGGTGAGCACCAAATAAAATCAGCAGCTTTCTGCTGCTCGTTGTATAGCTATGCAGTAAAAACGACCAGAGAGGCAGAGAGATCAGATTGCATACATTGCACATACAGAGTGAGTCACACACGAGGAACATTCCTTTCTAGAAGATATTGTCTGGCTTCGTCAGTTACACACGTGCTGCTTTTAAGCATGCAGGCAGTGCTGAGATCTTTTGTTAAAAATGCTTTGCCATCTTTGTCTATCATGAAGGCATCCAACATGAAATGTTGATTTGTAAAAAAAAAATTATACAAATATTACTTCTACATCACCATTTGATAAAGTTGTAAACACCTGAAAATTGTTTAGTTGACGCCTACAGAAAAACATTTTACTAGTTTTCACAATTTTCTTACCCTTTCTTGTATCTCAGTGCCGCTGATCTCCTGCAGCCTCTTAATGTCTATATGCACTCCAGTGATGGCCGCATAACGTCTCCCACGGTGGATTTCCTGATGGTGAACACAGTGAACTATTCCTGTGTACTGTGTGTTGGCCTCTTTTAGTCTCCATCAAAATGCCCATGTGACAGGGTGACAACCTAGGAACATTATTGGGAGACAGGGACAGAGGTTTGTCACTCTATAACAGGAAGTGTCTGAATGGCAGGATCAATAGGTAAAGCTGCTAATTTTAAAAGATTGAAAATTGTTATTGAAAAGACAATAAACTGTAAAAGCGTATGTGACATTTTACTGATTGGGTTTACATATACTTTAAAATATTCTGGATTGGACTATAGCTGCTTGTCACATGACTCTACAGCTAGAGCTGGAAATAGAAAACACATAAATCTTTATTTTTGGTACTTATATAGTGCTGTCAATTGACGCAGTGCTTTACATACATATTGTACATTCACATCAGTCCCTAACCCTTAAGGAGTGTACAATCTAAGGTCCCTAACTCACATACAGATATTAGGGCCAATTTAAACAGGAGCCAAGTAACCTACCAGCATGTCTTTGGAGTGTGGGAGGAAACTGAGGTACCTGGAGGAAACCCACACAGGCACATGGAGAACATGTAAACTCCAGGCAGGTGGTGCCATGGCTGGGATTTGAACCAACAACCCTAGTACTGCCAGGTGAAAGTTCTAACCATTTAGCCACTGTGCTGCCCGATTTCTTCACACTCATATTCAGCACCATTCAGAGATGTTTTCAGCAGTTACTGTATAAGCAGGGGAGGACTGACAACTCATGGGGACCCCAGGCAATAGGGGACCATGGGGCCCCTGTGTCTTTGCCCAAACTCAAAGCACACCCAAAAAACCCTATAAAAAGGTAACAGGGGCATTTCATGGGGCCCTCTACTGACCTTGGGCCCTCGGGCAGTGCCCGAGTGCTCGAATGGTCACTCCGCCCCTGTGTATAAGGATTAAGACAGCAGGACAGCCAGCTGTGCACAATAAGGGCCGGTTCCCACTATAGAAATGCAGTCCAGATGCGTTCCAGATACGTTTCCACATGCACGTTTTTTATGTATTTTCAACGCGTTCCAGTGTGTTTTTGATTCTTTTCAATGCGTTTTTTATGCATTCCAGTTCCTTCTTTCCCCTCATTTTTTCTTCAATTTTAATAGGGACATGTGCTTGCCAGTACAGTTTTGGTGCATTTTGGTGTGTCCCGTTGCATTTTTTAATACGTTTTACCATGTTAACTTCCAGTACAGTTCTGTGTAAAAACATTCAGCAATTCTACTTTTTTCTGCAACCGGAACGCACTGGAACTGCAAGTACTTATGTGAACTATGACATTGACAACCATATAACCTACTTTCTGTGCGTTTTGGATGCAGGAAAACAGCACACGGAAATGCATGTAGTGTGATCTGACCCTAAATGTGGGGATGAAAACTGGGGATGGGTACCAAGCAGCCTTTTCCTTCTGAGTTGGTAAAGATGCAATTTATTTCATACTCAGATGAGATCTTTTACCATAGTTTATTGCTGTAAATATATTTAGCTAGGGATGCAAAAAATATAAATAAAGGGTGTCTAAAGCCAAAAGAGAAAAGTAAGGATGCAGTGGATGGCTTCAGATTAAAGACAAGTATTGCAGCAAAAGCTTTTTTTCTTTTTTTAACTTTGACTTAAAGGGGAAACTGGATAGGAATAGGGAGCATGGGATACCCTGGAACTGAAAAAACTTGAACAGCTTGAGGACAGCTTAACCCCTTGGCGCTGACCGTACGAAAATATGAGGCCTCTTGGCGGCTGGGCCTTGACGCTGAGCGGCCGCATATTTGCGTACCATATGAAAAACACATATGTGCTGAGAGCACATGCCCTGTGCGCTCCCAGCACGTCGGTGTCTCACGGAAAGGTCCCAATCTCTCCTTTTGACTGTGACCTTTCCCGATCATGTTACCGCCGTGACAGCAAATCACAGTGGTCACATGACCCTAGAACCCCACCCTGCTTCCCGGCGTCTGAAACCCCTTAAAGGGCCGGGAGGCGCCGGCATGAAGAGGTTAAATTCTGCTTTGCACAACTCCTGAAGGTCTGGCACAACTTTGGCTGCACTGCACAACTCCCAGCTGTATTGTACTGTTGCCTGTTTTGCACAACTGGCTGCACCTTCCCAACAAAGTCCCAAAGAATCTCCAGCTGCCTGTGACCTGTAATTTACTCAGAGTCCCAAAGCACCCGACTGTCATCTTTGCATGACTGGGGTCTTGTACTCACTCAGCCACAGGATCATCAGTTACTTCCTACCGATATCCCTCCAGGATCTACCTAGTGATGGAGATGTAGACTCACATTGCCTTTGGACAACTTGGGCTCTTTCCCATAGCTTCCTCTTGGCTTTCACCCGTGAGTTATCTCCTGACGTTCTGGACCCCAGGGCTGGCTTTGAGAATAGGTGATGAATTGATGTTTTTAAGCTGGCTTTGTCCTCAGGCTCCAGCCCAAAAGGGCAAGGCCCTTCAACTGGGGTCTCCTCCTGTAGAGTTGGACTAGGTAACAATGCCCTACACACACACACTAGATGCAAGCTGTCCCTGCTGCTCAGGCTTCATGCTCTTCTCCACCTTCTGGGCACACCTCCCCAGGGATTGGCTGAAGTGCCAAAAATATTCAAGCTGCATACTCTGCCCTCCCACCATGTTTCTGGAAGTAGCAGAGCAGCAGCCTGTGAAACCATGAGCAGCCACAATTCTCAGCCACAGCAACCCAATCAACCCCTGCTCCTCTGATGGCACAGGAGTCAAATTAAGGCCGGCATACATGGGTCAATTTCCAAATTATTTTTTGTTTGAAAATCGGACCTAAGAATAATCGGTTGATTTTCGCTCTGTTAGTGGGGCAATGACACCGGTCGCTTTTCGTGGTCCCTCCCCATTTTGTTTATCGGGTATGCTGGAAAATTCCTGAAAAACGACTGATTTTCAAAATCATTGGTGGCACCATTGGATTAGAGAGCGAACAATGTTTTTGATCACCAATTACATAAAATGGTGTGACCTCTAATGTACAAAGTTCATGGATATCCTCACAAAGGTCTCAGTTCTAGTTTGCAGGGTTTTTTCTGGGTTTGCTCACAGTGCAGGAATTGGTTTGCTCACAGTGCAGGAATGGATTTGCTCACAGTGCAGGAATGGGTTTGCTCACAGTGCAGGAATGGGTTTGCTCACAGTGCTGGAATGGGTTTGCTCACAGTCAGGGACGGACTGACAACTCATGGGGCCCCCGGACAATAGGGGATCATTGGGCCCCTGTGTCCTAGCCCACACTCAAACCACTCCCAAAAACACCTATGAAAGGTACCAGGGGCATCTCATGGGGCCCCCTATTGACCCCTGGCCCTCGGGCAGTGCCCGAGTGTTCGAATGGTCAGTCCGCCCCTGCTCACAGTGCAGAAATGGGTTTGCTCACAGTGCAGCAATGGGTTTGCTCACAGTGCTTGAATGGCTTTGCTCACAGTGCAGGAATGGGTTTGCTCACAGTGCAGGAATCGGTTTGCTCACAGTGCAGGAATGGGTTTGCTCACAGTGCTTGAATGGTTTGCTCACAGTGCAGGAATGGGTTTGCTCACAGTGCAGGAATGGGTTTGCTCACAGTGCAGGAATCGGTTTGCTCACAGTGCAGGAATGGGTTTGCTCACAGTGCAGGAATGGGTTTGCTCACAGTGCAGAATCGGTTTGCTCACAGTGTGAATGGGTTTGCTCACAGTGCAGGAATGGGTTTGCTCACAGTGCAGGAATGGGTTTGCTCACAGTGCAGGAATCGGTTTGCTCACAGTGCAGGAATCGGTTTGCTCACAGTGCAGGAATCGGTTTGCTCACAGTGCTTGAATGGGTTTGCTCACAGTGCAGGAATGGGTTTGCTCACAGTGCAGGAATGGGTTTGCTCACAGTCAGGGACGGACTGACAACTCATGGGGCCCCCCGGACAATAGGGGATCATTGGGCCCCTGTGTCCTAGCCCACACTCAAACCACTCACAAAAAAACCTATGAAGGGTACCAGGGGCATCTCATGGGGCCCCCTATTGACCCCTGGCCCTCGGGCAGTGCCTGAGTGTTCGAATGGTCAGTCCGCCCCTGCTCACAGTGCAGGAATGGGTTTGCTCACAGTGCAGCAATGGGTTTGCTCACAGTGCAGGAATGGGTTTGCTCACAGTGCAGGAATGGGTTTGCTCACAGTGCAGGAATCGGTTTGCTCACAGTGCAGGAATGGGTTTGCTCACAGTCCAGGAATCGGTTTGCTCACAGTGCAGGAATGGGTTTGCTCACAGTGCAGGAATGGGTTTGCTCACAGTGCAGGAATCGGTTTGCTCACAGTGCAGGAATGGGTTTGCTTACAGTCCAGGAATGGGTTTGCTCACAGTGCAGGAATGGGTTTGCTCACAGTGCAGGAATGGGTTTGCTCACAGTCCAGGAATGGGTTTGCTCACAGTCCAGGAATGGGTTTGCTCACAGTGCAGGAATGGGTTTGCTCACAGTGCAGGAATGGGTTTGCTCACAGTGCAGGAATCGGTTTGCTCACAGTGCAGGAATGGGTTTGCTCACAGTCCAGGAATGGGTTTGCTCACAGTGCAGGAATCGGTTTGCTCACAGTCCAGGAATGGGTTTGCTCACAGTGCAGAAATCGGTTTGCTCACAGATTGCAGGAGTCGGTTTTCTCACGCCTAGCTGGGATTTCTATTTCCTGCAGAGCAGATTCCGTCCCTCCATATTCACATTCACAGTCGGCTCCCTGTAATTCGCGTTAAGCATATTTGACATGATAAATTGGGTGTTATGGCAGAATTAAATAGGCTATATATTATTAATCACGGCTTTCTATTTCTGGAAGACTCCTACATAGTGTAGATATAGAAAATCACTCTACAGGCAGCCTATGACAGTAAAGCCTCTGATTAAAATACAGCTGAAATGATCATTAATATATCAGCACACCCTGAGCTCATAAACATCGAGAAACTCGTCATTTTTTTATTATATTTGTAAAAAAGTGGTTCAACATAATTGCCCACAAAGAATGTCAGCTAGTTCTAAACTGGGACAGCAATGCAGACTCCTTCTAAATGGGTTAAAGCTGAAATCCAGGCCAATAGCTAAATGCACAGCTCAGTTATATACTGTATATGGGAACTGATTTTCCAGGCAAATAATTTAGGATTTGATTCAGTCTTATGCTTTAGTCAACCCTGCCAGACAGCACAGCCAGCACATCACTGCAGCAGCACAGCTACAGGACACACCCCCAGCCCACTAGTTGGACAATGATGGAGCAGCACGACAATGATGAGGTCATCCCTCCTCTCCCTCTGCTCTTTTCTGCATCTTCACTATGAGTACATGTGGACAGTAGTAGATTTTGATTGGCTCCTAGTCCTAAGCCTCCTTCCACCAGACTAAGGCTGCTCATACACTATACAATTTGCTGTCCAATTTCTGCCCAATTTCCTTTAGATTTACCGTCAACTATGTAGTGCAAGGACTTGCCTAGTTGGATACAATTGAAAGTGTTGTTTAGGTTTGACCTTATATTATATGGTTTTTGATAAATCTAAAGCTAAATTCGCAAAAGAAAATTGTATAGTGTATGGCCAGACTTAGTTCTTCCGTTCATGGGATTAGAGGAGAATGATACATTGATATATGTTCTTTAGTCCGCATAGCTCCATACTATACACTCGGCTGTTGTGTACAGTCTACTCTACTGTATGATATGTACCTTACCAGTGTATGTAGTGTTAACCCTCTTCAGACTGACCAGATTGCATTCACTACAATGGACCCTTCTTTGGCCAAATACACACACTTTTGCTAGGCAAGATAAAATCAGGCATTTAGACTAGGTGTAGTAAAACATATATTTAATGATCAATACCCAACTGCATTAATTGATCTTTCTTCCTATTCATTCCTTCCTTCCTTCCTTCCTTCCTTCCTTCCTTCCTTCCTTCCTTCCTTCCTTCCTTCCTTCCTTCCTTCCTTCCTTCCTTCCTTCCTTCCTTCCCTC